TTTTGTTTGTAATTACTTCAAATGACACTAATCGGTTTAAACATTCCTCCTCCCTGATTCGCTAAATATAGCACTTCGATGAATTAATTGGGATAATAGTAATCAGGTTAAATACTTCCTTTTTTTGGGAGAAGTAATATTTTCTTCGTCGTAATTTATTTGAATCACACTAATCAGATTAAACAACGCCTTTTGTTGTCTTCCTAAATTTCTCCTTGTTGATCATTAATTGGAATGACATGGATTTGCGTAAACAGTTGTTCTTTGTTTCGTACAAAATACTTCCCCCTCCGTAATTATCTGGAATGAAACTAATCGGGTTAAACAAATCTTCTTGTTATGTTCCCAAATATTTCTCGACTGATAATTAATCTAAATGGTATTAAATTGTGGAAAGAGGTTCTTTTTGGTTTGTGCAAAAGATTGTTGTTTTCGTAATTAATCGCAATAACGCTTCAGAAGTGGAACAGTTTTTGTTGTGTGGGTTTAAAATAATTTTCACTTTTTCATTATTTCCAGTTACGCTAACCGCGGAATAAATTACTCTTCCTCTTCCTATTACTTTCGCAACGTAATTACTTTTAATGAAACGAATGCCGTTGAATATTGCTTCTTCTTCCATTACGTTAATTATTTCCTTCCCCCGGAATCTCCTGATTGACATTACGCGATTGAAACACTATTGTTGCTGGGTGCACTATATTGCCCTGGGGGTTAATTATTCTTAATGACACTAAATGGTTCGAACATCGGCTTTTTTTTGATTTCTTTAATTATTTTCCCACACCTGCATTTTTGTAATGACATTACACCAGTGAATGATTCTCCTTTTCTTGTGTGGAAAATATTGCCGCTGCTGTTACTTATTCTGAATGGCCCCAAAAGATTTGAACAATCTTCTTTCTTTGGTGCTGTAATTATCCTGTTGCACACGCATCTTCGGAAGAACATTATACGCGTGAAAGAGTCTCCCCTGTCGTGTTTTGTTATATATTGTGTCTGTTGTCTGCTTGTTGGAGTCAAACTAATGTGGGTGAACATCCCCTTGCCTTTTTTGGGTCATTATTTTTCTTGCACCCGAATATACGGAATAAATTTACACGACTGGAACATTCCTTCCCTGACCTTTCTTTAATTTCCTTTTTTGTGGAATTTCCTCAATCAGATTAGACGTGTTGAACATTTGCTCTTCCTTTTCTTTCTCCATTACTCCTTGCTATTGGTATTATTCAAAGACACCCAAAACTGTGGAACCACTGTTCTCTCCGTTATTGATTACTCGCTGGCCCCGTATTATGTTGAATTAAATTAATTGTATGGAATGTTTTTTCCTTGCTATTTGTTTAATTCTTCCTTTGCTCCCTGAGGAGTTCAATACAACTCATCGAATGAAACTTCATTTTCCTTGGTTCTTTTTGCAGTTCATGTTACGAACGCAGGTTATCGGTTAAGATTTTATGGGCCGAACACTCTCTCATTCCTCGGCTCTCTTAAATAATCGGCCCCGACTAGAGTCCCTGGAATAAAATTAAACGTCGGTAAAAGTGGTGTTCTCCTTTTTTGATTAACTATTTTTTGCCTCGCGTTTTTCCTGAAGAATATCTAACGGGTAAAGCATTCTTTCCCTTTAGTTGATCGGAATATTTTGTGCTGCTGAATTCTTCTGCAGAAAACTAACAGCATGGAATACCACTTTACAATTAACATTTGGTATGGATTCCGATAGGCTCAATAACCCTCCTAATGCCTCAGGTCGCTACTGGTACTACGCTTTTAACTCCTTATAAATTTTACACTCGAGGCTGTTTAAAAGGAAGCATGCTTTGAAAATTCTGTCCCCTGGAATAATTTTATCAAATATCCGCTATCGAACTTTCTCTAATGGTAATTTCTCCTGTTTCTCTACTTCTTCGCTGACAATAAATCAATACTTCGCTGGGTAGTTAATTTGATACTTTAATTTTACTCCAGTTTATATTGCTATTACGTCTAATACTTAACAAAGTTAATACTTCTCTTTATTATCTTCATGTAACGAAGCATTATCCACACCATGAGGGTTATTTATTCTTCTCTCTTATTTATTTGAATCTCTCTTCCTGTATGTCAAGTCAGGAGTAATCTTATAGATCATTTACTTGTTTGGGCCTGTTTTTACTTTATGTTAGGGAAAAAGGAATTCTTATTAATGATGGTGCCCTTTTATATATAGCCCCGTGTTTCCTCCTTAACTTCCTTATGACTAGGCATACTGCTTATAGAGAAATGATTGTTGGCCTCTTCTTGAGACTTATTTACATTTCCTCCAATTCTATGATCTTACAGCTGCCATAGGATTACTCCACTACGTATGATTCCCTAACATGGTTTGCGAGTAAATATTAGGGGACACACGTATAAGAAAGCTAGATGAGAAATTCATAGGATAACTTTAATTATTCGACCAAACATAAGTACAGCTTTACCAAGAGTATCATTGACCTTCTTATATAATTCAGAGAACAAGTTTTATAATTATAATGCATTTCACTTCTCTACCCTAAATAACAATGGGGTCTAAGGACGAGCTTTAAAAGTCACACACAACTTTCTACAAATTAAACCTCCTGATTATACACGCCCCTCAGTTTATCGTAGGCGGAGGTCATAAGTATGAACTTTTCTTAACATATGAGGTTAGGCATCCCATTATTTAACCAACATAGGAACACCATCTCAGATTAATGCTAAATACTAGCCGAACATCTAATTCCAAATGCATCATTATTATTTCCTTAGAAGTAATTCAATTTCTCATGATTTGGGAAAATATTTCTACGAAACAATTTTTTCGTTTAGGTTCTTAAAGGATGCATAAAAAGATATCTATTGAATGGCACAATCAAAGGACAAAACTAAAGAATGATCACTATAATGTACAAATTTACGGTATCATTCCATAATAATATGAATGACCAACTGTAAGAATTGAAACGGCATATTCCTTCTTCTTGGCCCTCTTCTTAGGACATGAATGATCAGCTAACTTCCAAGAGTGGATTTGTCGTACGATGTGTATAAAATATGCAACATGACAAATTCCATCCTCCATCTTCCCCTTAGTTTATTTAATGCCTGTTTGCTATATTCCTAGAATAATGTTAAGAGTCGAATACATGTCCTCCTTTTTCGCATCTTGCCAAATTCCCCCCTGTTAGTTCCTGGAACAATATTACTCGGGGGAGAGATTCTGTTGTCTCTTAGGTTCATCTACCACTCTTTGGCAAATCCTTGGCTTGAAAGGAAGGGAGGGATTCTTTACTTTTCTCTGTCTCACTCTTCTTCTGATAATTATTTTCAATAAAATTCTTTGGGAATATGAGGTCCCCTGTTGGTATTGCGGATACTTTTCTTCGGTTTTCTAGATCCAGGCACATGGTATACGGCGGTAAGTATCCGTCGTCTGAGTCGAATCCTTCCTCTGATACTTGAATCCAAACCATACGGCTTAAATCCTCCTCCGTCAGTTTCTGGGATTGATCCTTCGTCGGAGAATTCTTTGGAGTTGTGGGCTTGTTGGGTGTCTTTCTCTTCTCTTCCTTGTTCGGACTCATTATTTTCTGGTATTAGAAGATTTGAAATAACACTAATTGGGGCAAACACTTCCTTTTTTGCGTCCGCCTTAAAAACTTTTTGTTTGTTATTTAGTCTTTATGACACTAATCGTGTTAAACACGTTGTGTTCCTTCTTCTCTAAATATTGTCCTTCCTTGTAATCAACTGAAATTACACTAATCGGGTTAAACACTTGTCCTACTTGTTGTCGTGAATATTTCCCCTGTCGTAATTAATTGGATTGACATTAAATGGGGGAAACACCTCTTCTTCTTTCTGTCCAAAATACTTCTTATTCCTTAATTATTGTGTTTGACACTAAATGTTGGTAACATACGCTTTTTCGCGTCTACTAAATATTTCTCCTTTGGTAATTAACTCCAATTGCACCAAACGCGTTAAACGCTTTCTCTTTTTCTATTTGCTAAATATTACTTCGGTTGTAATCAAGTGGAATGACATTACATGAGTGAAGAATTCTTTTCTTATTGTTTGTAAAATATTGCTCCCCTGGTAATTAATTTGAATGACATTATATGGGGAAAAGTTTGTTTTTTGTTGGGTGCAAAATATTGTTTCTTTCGTAATTATTCGAGATGACATTACCCAAGTGAAACATTTTTGGTTGTTTGTGTGTAAAATAATTTTCACCTCTTATTTTTTCCAGTTACACTAATGGCGGAATAAATTTTTTTCCTCCCTTCTTTTTCGCTTTGTAATTAATTTTAATGAAACGAAATTTGTCGAATATTGGTGTTTGCTTCATTATGTTAACTATTTTTTGGCCCCGAAATCCACGGAATGACATTACACCATTGAAACACTCCTGTTTGTGTGTGCAAATTATTGCACTGTCTGGTAATTACTTTAAAAGACATTAATTCGGTTGAACAGTCGTTCGGCATTTACGCTGTCAATTACTTCCTTCCACCCGCATTTTCGGAACCATATTATACGAGTGAATCATTCGTCCATACTGTTGTTTTGAAGATATTGTCCTTGTTGGGTGTCCTTTAGCATGAAACTAAATGCGATGAAAATTCCTTTCCTTTTTCTGGTTTATTATTTGCTTTGCACGCGAGTACACGGAATATATTTACACGAATGGAAAATTCGCCGCCTCACTCCCCTCCATTTTTTGGGTGTGTGCAACTTATGTAAAAACATTAGACGTGATGGACATGTGTTGATCTTTCTGAATCACTACCCGCCATTTGAATGATGCAAATGAAACCAAAACGGTGGAATTTTTTTCCCTTTTTCTATTTATTACTTCTGGGTCGGAATTGACTCGGAATTAAATTAATCGTATTGAATATTGTTCGCCGATTGCGCGGTATAATTTCCCTTCCCCTTTCGTATTTGGATATTTAGCGTGGCGCACGGAACATCCACTATCATATTTTATATTGCAATGATATCTATGAGCAGAGATGAATAAATTCCTAACCCATTACAATGATTTCCTAGTAAAACACAGGGGGTCATTCACGGGAATTTTTGCTTAGTGTACAATTGGAGGTCAGAATTAGCTGGTTAAATCATGTCATAAATTCAGTTATAGTTTGATTGTCCTTTCCAAATGACGTCTTCGAAATCATCATGAACTATAACCGGGCTTTTTCCATAATTTTTGGAGTTTTATTCTGACGCCTTAAAATCATTATATTACGTGTTATACCAAATCTGTGTAATAATGCAATGGAATGCCTCGTGAATGTTGGAAATTAACTATGTTCCGGCATCCTGACACACTCTTCCTTCTCCTTGATTTTTATCCATTCCTATGTAGTTATATTTGTTAATATGCTTTGGCTCTTTGTAAGTTATTTTATCATGGCTAAAATCAAATATATTTTGGTCTCCCTTTTCTCCTTTCTTCTTTTTCTTTTTTAATTTTCATTAAGATTGATTAGGTATTATTCGGAAACTGTTATTCTTGCAATTGTTCATATAATTCAGCTGGAAATTATTGGTATTAGGGGGGATTTAAAAGTCAACGTACCCATTCCATGGGTGACGATTTTGCATACAGCAACTACAATATTACATATATAAAAACAAGCGGGACTTTAGCATTTAGAAAAATATTTTTACTCTTCCGTTCTCTTAAATCACTAGTAAGAAACAGAATAAAGAAAGAAAAAAAAACTCCTATTTGAAGCGATGCCAAAAAATTCGACCCACCTTTTTCCCAATCAGGAGAAAAGGGATATTCAAAGGCATTAACACAAAACCTATGACACACCTTCTGTCCGTATGGAACAAGTACATAATTACATCACTTGTTCTGTGTCCCAATATATATGACGCATAATTGCGATATCAATTATGATAGAAGCGAAAAAGAAACGTAATAATTTCGCGTACTCTAAATGGCTACAGGCATCTATGCATACAATGAAAGACTCCTAGGAGTGGACAGATTAGTCTGTTTCCTAACTGATAATAATTTTGCTCTTGTCATTCAGGCTATAGTACTAAATACAAACAGAGACGGAATCATACTACCATGGACTATACCTAAGTAATCCTGTTCTGTCATATAATTCTATTTGTTGGATAATTAGGTTATCCACTTTAGGGAAGATTAAGATTGGGATTCAATAGCTCTATTCTGCTAGTTGGAATGAATCTTCGTACACATTCCTGTTCTCATGTCATGGTAATGAGGTTTCTGAGTTCTTATCCTGGCCCTGTTGATTGATGGTGTCTGGTGCTTATTCCTCCTTCTTCTCGTTTGTTTCCTTGGGTTGTCCCTCTATTTCTCTTATAATATAGACTATGTCCTATTAGTAAATTCCTAACCATTATATGATGCTCCCCCCCTAAGTTATATCTTCTTCCTTATTTACTGCCTAGAAGGTTACGACAGTTGCTTCTATATCCTCCCTCACGATATGTTATATAGCAAAGAAAATATCATATAAGCCACAACATTCTGTATCCAGCTATTTAAATAGTTATTCCTCTGGCATGTGGTGGGTAAACGTACATTATGATAATGTATTGAGACCTAAATATTCCCCTTTTTACTCAAATTATTCCCACAACAATTGACGAATTTTTTCTCAAATTCGGGTTAATTAATCATGTGGAATAACACACAATATGCTTATAAAACTATTCGACTCAGCATTAAAGGAGGGAATTTGTCTATTATTTGGTATATATCCATATATCATTACAATTAAGACTAATATAAAAAGCATATCACTGCCGAAATGATCATGTATTTATTGACTTCTCCCCATTTTTCAGAAGAATCTTATAACTCTATCGTGGTGTAAGACTCCTTTATAGGACATGTCCTCATGTCAATAGGGGAATGTACTCATCGTATATGTTTATACTCTCTTATGCATAAAAGGGGGTTATGAATACCACTTAACATTCTACATCCTCCTGTGGTGAATAAGGAGACGCCCGTTATAGCATCATCTATAGTCTTAGATAGAGACAAAAATGAAGTTATTGTACGGCTTACTATATTCCATGAACTCAGCACAGATTCAAGATATTATCTGTCCTTATTCCTTTGCCTATATGTTAGAAAACATGAAACCCTCGACTTCATATATCTATTTTGTCAGAGGGAAGGATCTGGTGCTCACAGTATTCCTTATGTGTCACCCCTACTGTGTTTTTGGGTTCTATGCTTTGGGGGTAGTGTCTAATGTTCATCCCCTGAGCATCTTTCCCTGTATCCTTTCCTCTCGCGTTGTCTCTTTTGTGTGTATTAATTATGTAACTTCCTTCTTAAGCATCTCCACTCTGATCGTCATGTTGATATCCCCACTCGTTTGTGGTGTATTTATATGGTCTTACATATATCTCTCTTCGTTTCTTGAAGTAGATAATTTCCTCAAATATGTCAGTTGTATTCGTATATACATTCTATTATAGTCCTCCGCTGCTATATGGTTGCTCCTCCCCCTCCTTGGTTTAATGCTTCTTTAATATCTTATGTGTATTCTTATTCTTATGCTCATTTTATTCTCTTCGCTCGTTCCATGTTATTATTATTCCTAACTTTCCACGAGAAACAGCTCGTTCTATATAGTACTATTCCTCTTATAATTTCTTATTCCTCCCTAATGTATAAGAATTTTAATCTTTCATTTTACATAATATTTATATTTTAATAGTACCGCATCAATTTCGAGTCTTGTTAAGAGGAAAATACTACAGATTAAGGCAGGTGTGCAAATCTTCCGTAATCATTTTTTCCTAATAGTACCCGGATAATTATTGAATCTATATTACAATAATATTGAGAAGGAATAATCACAGTTCACGACGTATTACTGTATTTACAGTGTTACTTTGCCTATAAAAAGTTGTTCCTATATATATGCACCCTCGGTATCTTGAAACCCCTTTCAGTGATAGTATCCCTCAGTTTCTTATACAGCATGAATAGCCTTAGGATTGGTATATGAGTATTCCTGGAATGGAATTATTTTACAGGCCAGTGTATTGGTGAAATGGTATGATCTTGACAACTGCCGTCCTCCTCATGGAATTCGACTCTCTAAACCTTTGTATTATCTTAAACAATTTTCCTCCTCACACAGCACTGTTCTACATAGAATAATACCCTTGACAGAAGCTTATCCTCTAAACACTTGTTGTAAGGCAATTTTTACAGTTAATACAAATATACCGGAGGCATCTCGTATCTTTTACATATGTGTAACGCTTCTTGATTGGAACCCCTCCAAGAATACCGATGAATTCACTCTATTATCTGTTACTAAATATCTCTTTTTAAATTATGGTGCTTCCTGCTTTAAATCTTGACGACTCCACAATAGGGACTCTGGTGATTCTCCTACTGTTTATGCATTGCTACTCTAGAGAAATGTCTCCTTCTCACATACTTAATAATGGTCGCGAAAAATGTGTTCCTTATATATTAGTCTTCCAAGGAAGTGTATATCCTTCGTATCGTTCTATTCTTCAAATAATAGCACCCGTTCGCCTAAATTTTCCATAT